TCCAGCCAACACAAGAACGCACAGCGCGAACGGGACGACGCGCAAGGTCTACAGTCGCGTGACGTTTTCGTTAGCGCCCCCGGCTATCGACGATTGCTCGAAGAACGATGGCCTGGATGCGCAAGGGGCCTGCGATATGATGCAGGCGACTTCGAGCGATGGCGAACGCGTCGCAAAGGCAGCACACGGAAGATATGACACGAGCAAACGGGTGTGACAGCCACCCCCATTCATTTGGTGCCCAACAGGAGAACGGAGAGTGCAGTGAGTGGGGCTTGAGGGGCCCTTCAGATGCCCGCCGCAGGTACTGCCGCGTCGGGGGCTGTGACATCAGGCGGTCCCTTTTTTGACGGACCCTCCTCACGAAATCGCACGGTCCGAAACCGTTGCGGGAGGGCGGGCCGTGATTGCGAGAGGACTGGCCTTTTTTCACCGTGCTATCAATGGTCCCAACGCAACATCTGGCACAAATTTTCCTGCCCACTTTTGAATATCGGGGCCCGCGCAGATTTTATCGTGATATCCACGGTACCAACGCGTCATCCGGCGTGGCTTTTCCCGCCCACTTTCGTTTCTTGGGCCTCGCTCGGATGTATCCGCCTTTCGAATGACGGTGGCGCCATTCCGCGAATTTGCAGGTGGGCATTGCAATCGTCCGAAGCAGCAGGCAATCGCAGGTGTCGCCAACCCTCACGGCCGAAAATGCCCATCATGCGCCCGGACCACCCGCCCTTGCCAGCGACACAGCCATCTCGTCTCCGAGGGACACAGCCATCTCGTGGCCGTCTCCCCCGCCGTTTGCCTCGCTTCTCTCTCTCACCCTCGTCGCCATATCCCTCGCCTCGCCATCTCCTTCGTGTCGCAATCTCCCACGTCTCCATTCGCGGTTTTGCCCTTTCACGCGTCGGCACCTCCCTTTTCGCACGTCGCGACACGCGTCGTCATATTGTGGTTTGAGATCATCAACCAAGTCGTCGGGGCCATTGTTTCCAACAACAGTTGTAAATCGAGGAAAGAAAAGGTGTGTTCTCTCCCTCATTCTATCTCCCTTTCTCATCTCTCTCTGTCTCACTTCCCGTCTCTTTCTCTCTATTGGCTCTGCCTCTTTTTCTCTCTCGCTCTCTCTCTCTCTCTCTCTCTCTCTCTCTCTCTCTCTCTCTCTCTCTCTCTCTCTCTCTCTCTCTCTCTCTCTCTCTCTCTCTC